TGACGATCTGACTTTTCCTTAGATTTGTTTTTAACAAATCACATTTTTTATGACGTCATAATGACGTCACACAAGTTTCAAAATATTGTGAATATACCTATTACCTAACCAACAAACATACTACAAAAAGAATTTTGAATTTAGCATATTGCGTTCATGAGATAATGGCTTAAAGTTCCAAAACTTAAAAAAATCGATAAAAAATCACATGATGATGTTATAATGATGTCACCTCAATTTCTACCTTTAACACATCTCGGTCTACCCACATACCAAGATTCAACCCAATCGGACTTAACAGTTCTTTAGATATATAGGGTCTTAAAGTTTGCACATTTTAGATGACATCACGTGACCCATGATGACGTAATCATTAGAATATAAGTTTGTTTCAGGTTCAAAATGCTGCGGTCAAAAAACGTGTACAAAGTCTATGGGATTTGTGGTGGAATATTATGGGGGAATAAAGAAAAACAAATCAGAACAAAAACAATGCTTTTCCACTTTCAAGCGGAAAAGCAAATAGGCAGCAGAATATGTATGAGGCACAGTAAAACAAATATAACTAGTTCCCTCGGCTTCGCCTCAGGAACTAGTTTGTCCGCTTGCAATACCTCAGGTAACGAATATCAACTGTCCACCCTCATACCGTGTTATATTTGTATAATGTATGACTTCAAGTCAATGTCATTTGACGCATGATGTCATCATGATAACATATGAAAAATTCACACGGCATGTATATATTGCGCTCATGTATTTAAAGCGCCATTTGAAAATGTCTATGATTGGACATGGACATTGTTTGAGAATTAATAACTTACATATAGTTTGGAACTTGGGTAGATCTCATCAAGACTTGTCTCAAATCAGACTTATTATGGACGAAACTTTGGAAAACGTCTACAATCTCAAAGGTTTCATATTGTCCTTCTTATTTCTTGCCACTGTTTGCAGGTGCTGCATGTTATGGCTTTGACACCTTCCATTACTCAGCGTACTTCACAGGATTGAAATCCCCTGAAATTGAGGCAATTTCCTGTATGCCGAAGGCTTGATTTTCCAGTGGATTCCCCAATGGATTCCAAGGTATCAAACTTTACTTTGAACATGATTATTTTGAATGCTTAATAGAGGGAATAATGGTGTGAGGATCCGGTCTTCACTGCGTGATAATGACCGGGTTTGGGGGTGACCGGTCATTATCACGCAGTGAAGACCGGATCCTCACACTGTTATTCCCATTAATAAATACCTTTTTAACGGAATAAACAGTTAAAATGCTCCTATTTTGTGACTTTGCTTTCGGCGATAATTCCGGCCTTTTTTGTGTGTTCATGTTCATTTGCCATATTTTAGCTTATGCGTGGTACCCTGTCGCTTCAATATGCGTTGTTATATACCACCATAGCTGGGCCCAGGCTGAGCTGGACGACATCTTCATCATTGCATTTAATACGACGTCCAGGCTATGAACTTCTGCTGCCGTAGCGAAACAAATTACAACAATTTTTTTCATATTTTTTTCACCTGATGGAGGAAGCTGAAATTTCGTTTACATATTCCTCGTGTCCAGAATTACAAAGATGCTTGGCTTAGGAAAGGTTAATATGTCGGTGGGCAAAGTGTTCAAAGAAAATAAATCACAGATCTACGCTTTTGTCGTTAAACATCCTCAGTATACTGCTGTACGATGTCGTTTGAAAACTTCCTTACGCGCGCGCACCCATAGCAACTGTGTTGCATACGCGCGTAAGTCTCACGCGATGGTGGTTGAGCGCATGTGCAGTGCTGTATTGTTACAAGCTGCCGTAGGACTGTTGTAAATTTGGCCAATCATTGCCTTCCGGGGGGCTGGATCAATGCTGATTCAGGGGCCAATTTTTGGCTTGTTGTTTGAAGCTGGTCTTTATATCACCGTTAATACACTCCCACATGATTGAGTCTTGACCAATCAGAAGCCATCAACTCTCAAAGGTATTTATTAAGAATTATGAAATACTATTTTGAGGATGAATGTATTCACGGAATTGTTTCAAATTTTTTTGTTATTTCCGCAGATTTTGACATAGCTGGATAAACTACTTGGTGGCGACATGGTGAAGTTACTGCATTTTCACAGATTGCTCAACAAAGGTTGTTTGTACTGGAAGGCCATTTTAATGGATAAGCATATGAAACAATGCTTATCAATTAAACATTTAAACAATGAGTATCATTAAAGATACAGTCTAACATTTGTAATTTGTGCATTTTGTTCGTTTGAAGCAACAATCGTGCTCAAAACCTAAACAAGGGTGCTGAACAACTAACCTGATGAAGTTTCAGCTCGGCTACATTTGTATATTTCGGGAAAAACAGCATTCTAGGATCTCGATTTCAAATCAAAAGTTGCTGAATCATGTTTTTGAAACGGGCCTGAATTCAGCGTCTGAGACACGTTCTCACTGAGCCCGATTGCAGCTACGTGATGTCGCGCACTGATCTGATGAATTAAAGCAACCGCGCGCGTATGTGCGTCGTGTCAATGCTTGTGCGTGCTTCGCAAAATGAAAAAAAAAAGAAAATTTCGAACGATAAGCCTAAAGACGACAGCATGCCAGAAAGAATAATTTCACTGGGAGTGTAGTCCCCTTACTATGTTTCAACTAAATGTCAGTTACTTTTGGATAGCTGCAAATGATGAACTGTAGCTTTAAATGGCCTTCCAGTAAAAAAAAACCTTTGTTAGTTTTTGTGTTGCAATGTGAGATTAATCCATGAAAATCAAGTATTTGGTATTCCTTCCAAAACGTTATTAAAAGCATTTGTTCATTATTTTGAGGTGTTAATAATAACTTAACAAAGTTTGTCAGTCTCCCTCGGACAAGCTTAGCTGCCCTTCATTGAAAGAACTTCATTTCAAGAACTATTGTTAAACATATTTGAACTGAGTAAGCCCAAAGTCTGTCTAGTCGACGATGGTTGGACTATACGCTAGTCGACTACTTGGAACCAGCCTACTGGGCCTGGTCGCATCGCTGGTTATCAATACAGCCTGTCTCCAAACAAAAATGGTACAATCAGAAAAAAAATTGGTTAAATGTTAAATTTCAAAAAAAGGCATTCTTACTTGGCATAATATTAAAGAACAAAGACTGGGCTTTCCAATTGTGTTTGTTTGATCTGATTTGCTTTTGTCAATTCAGAGATATAATCAATTTAGTGCGATACACCAAAATCGATTTTGTGCCACTTTTATGCATGGGCAGAGTTGTTTTGAGTACTGGATTGACAAAAGCAAATGAGATGAAACAAAAAGTATTGGAAAGCCTGGTCTTTTTTCTTTATTGTGATGCTCAAAACGACTTACTTATGTTGAGATTTAATATTGAAAAAAAAATCGTTTTCAATTGTACCATTTTTTTTTTGAGACAGGCTGTAGTCTCGTTTTATTACTCAAGTGCAGAGGGAACTGTTGACAAGAGATTAAACGTAGCAAGTTGTGCTACCCGCTGGTGGGCCTCGGAGATATCTTCTGTTTCATTCAACAGGTCAAAGAACATGAACAATCCAAACATACTCTGACCGCCATATGTTGCCAATGGTTCGACTAGAGTCTTACGCACTTTAATGTTACAGCGCAATGTGCACTGTTTGACACCAACGAACCATTGGTTGACAATGGTTGTTAAGCGAACTTACCTCAGCTGCCTTGTACTGGTGCAGTCAGCTACATGGGGAACAGATCCATAAATAGAGTATATGCAACCAGGTGGCTCAAAGCTCATAGAATTTTGAATGGGAAAGAGTTTGAGATTAAGTACTCGACGGTAATGTACTGTATGTTGAATTGTCAAAAAGTTAACAAGATTAGAGATAAACTTGAGAACAACAATTGGCCAAAAAGCACTTGATTTATAAAGCTGTTTGCTCAACAGGTAAACACTTTTGCCAAAAATAAATGGCCAGTAGAATTGCTGTAAATAGCTTAGGGTTTAGGTTATAGTGATCACAGTAAACAGGATGTATGTATATTCAAGTCGTGTTATAGATATTACACATCCCAATGTAGGTACACACCAAGTTACAATCGGATTTATAGTTCTGTTGATATAGGCCTTAGAAAAAGTAACCTTTAATACGACGTCATAAATGTCATGTGATGACGTCATTATGACCACTTAATTTTTCATCAATAACACACCCCGGTCTAGGTACACACCAGTTTCCAACCCAATCGGACCTGTAGTTCTGGAGATATAGACGTTCAAAATATGCACCTTTATTGTGACGTCACGTGACATGTGATGATGTCATGATGTGTTCGGCGCACATCTGCAGGTGCTGGATCTAAGCATGGAGGTGGTCTAAGTGTGTGCCAGGCAATTGGTTTAATTTTAGTGCCCAAAGTGCCATGCACGATGGAAAACGTGTACACATGCTTCGGGAATGGCTGAAAAGGGGGGGGGGAGAAAGAAAAAAATGTTAACAAAACAAATGCTGTTTCATCAAGTTGCCAAAACAGCCAATTAATTTAAACATCTTGGACGACGAGCGAATAAGGGCTGTTTATGTGAAGTTGTTGTTGAAACGTAAAGCAGTCATTTGAATAACAGCCGCCCGCCATTTTCAAAATAATTTTGGCCGACTTTCTTTTGGTAAATTAACATGTATGCAATTAATCATTACGTTAAATGTTAATTCCAATAACGCCGACCTCGCCAAAGTTTTGGCAAAAAAAATGTAACTGTTAAATGATTTGCAGGAACCATTATAATTATTGCATGAACGAAAAGTAATTCCAATTAATTTGTCTTTAATCTTGATAATTCATTTTGTAAATACATTTTAGACGTTCGTAATTTTGCCGAAGACGAAAGTAACAAAATATGTGTATTTTGTTCTTCGCCATTTGAGAATAAATTTGCTGGTTTCCCCACAATATAAAAGTTTATGATTGCATTGTCCGGCATGAGATTGTTCAGACTTTTGTCTAAAATTTTCGTGTACTTATTGATACAGGCTTGCACATGGAGAGATTATGAAAATCACCCCAACTTGATATTTTTTCCCCCCAGAAACACAGTTGTACCGGTAATGAGCACTGTACCGGTAAGCGTTGTACCCAGTAAGTAGGATTTTCCGTAAGTAGCACTCTATTTAACAGGAAACGATTGTCAGAGGAATTTTTAGAACGAATAGAAAGCCAGTAGCCCATGGCAGGTGTGTTACGTAAGAGGGTTTTGTATAAAGAGGTTTGAGAGAAGGAATGTGCATTATATATATACAATGTAGTAAGTTATAGCGAGCACACCCACAGAGGCCGTTATACTAGGTCCTAGCTCTATGGTTATACCATACCGACTTCATTGTGGATCCACAAGCGAGTTACATAGACGAACGGGAGCGGCAAGCATTCGTCATTTCGCAATGGGCAAAACTGGTTTCATCCAAGTTAGCTGGTTTTCAAAGCAAAGTTATCAAGTCTCAGAAGGATGCATCAAAACCTATTTGGCCCGAGTACAAGTAGAGAGATTGTCTGCAAAGGAAATCACCAGTTCAAGATTAGCAGAGGTAAGCGTCTTGGTGAAGTCAGATGTTCACAGACAGGGGTATTACCATGGTCTAATTCCTACCTCCATGGTAATACTACCATCACATGCACAAAATGATTAAGCTAGCCGAGGAAAAAAAATGCAACCTGACATCACTTGATATATAATCTCAATATGAAGGTCATTCATTGCAAAAAAAATTATGATAATACTTGAATCTGGGACTGAAAAACATTTCCAGATTTGTTAGGAAATACTTTACAAAAAAATTGACTCTCCTAACCTTTTACACAATCGTGGAAGTGGCGTCATTGCAGGTTGCAACATTTTTCCCGAACTGTGGAGCAAACCACTAAAACAACTTGGAATCGGCATTACGCGGCACATGTGACGGATTACAAGCAAGCCACAGCTTTGTTGCCAGGACACAAGTGTTCGCAAAAGATAAGTGAAAAAGAAGAAATAAGTCATTCAAGTTTGTCCTACATAGATTGAGTTTGGTTTAGAGATGTGAAGAAAGATTGAAATGTGTTGATTGTAAGGTATCAAACAAAAAAATCTAAATCAGTAATTGCAGACAAGTCCTGTTGTGTACGAATGACCAAAAATACCCAGTCAGTTGCCGTGTCTCGCGTAGCTGCTCTATTTTCTCGTCCACATAAGTACAACTGACAGAGACGCCAGGCCAGCGAACGATGGTCGTAAAAAAGGGCTTCAGCAAATTCGCAATTTTCATGGCAAACCACAACCGTTTTTTCCCCGACAACGATGAAAGTCTTCCAAATGTTTAAGTAATCAAAGGAAAGAATGAACGTGAACGTGATGTCGTTAATAATTTAAGAATTCGATGTACACCTAATGTTTCCAACAAGTTCCATTTCTTCACAACGCGAAAAGATCGTCGCCATTGTAAAGCATAGAGCGAGGAACCCAAACACGGTGTGACCTTGTGACCCCCATACGCCCACTGATTGGTCGAGCTCGATATTCAAAGTCATTCATCGCACGTTCGCGCGTGCTATTCACAATGTTTTCAGGCCAACGTTCGTCGGCGTACATGTACTTACGTTCGTTTATACGCGTACATGTGATTGCAAATCATGAAATCTCGCATTTTTCAACCGGCGATTTGGACCAAACATTAGAAGTCTCCTGCACGTGTTTCACATGAAAATTAGGCATATAATCTATCTATCTAATGAATATTGCCGTGTCTTTCGGCCTTTTTTTAAGAATCGAATGTACACCTAAAAACGCTAAAAACTATCGGCCCTCGCTTCTGTAGATAAAAGATACAATTTTGTTTGACAGGCCGTAACAACACTTTATATTTGTCAAAAGCAGTTGTTTTTGGTATCAAAATAAAGCACACGGTTAAACTTTTCACATTTTTAGCCATCTTGGCCAAACAGTGCATGTATCCAGGCACTTTTCGTGTTTTTCTGTAAGTCTTGCATAAATCTTCGCTTTTGGGCAACGCGTGTGAGACCTCGGGTCAAGAAACTGAGGTCAAACAGGGCTGTGAGTGTGACACGGCCATGTTGAAGTTTTTAATGGTGGATATTTTGCCATCACCGGCAATATATTTCCTATCGCTATTTTGCCGTCAGTCGGTGCGCGGTGATGGAAAGTTTATTCATGAGAAGTAAAATGACGTTCTATATTGTTATTACTTAGTCAACTAGTAATACGTTACGGGACGGTTCATTAAATCATAACAGGAAACGGCTGTCGCTGAGTAGTAATAAAGGTCAGTCATTGCAAAAATGTTGATGAGACATGGATCTGAGAAACATTTCCAATTTGTTCGGAAATACTTTTAAAAAAGTCTTGACTATCCAAAACACTGTACACAACCGGTGAAGTGGCGTCTGGATTTTTTCCCAATTTCCATCTGTTATTCTGCTTCAAATTTTATAGTTGGGATATTTTTATTTGAAGGGTAAACAAAAGTCCGATAACTTCAGGTGCCTTGCCAGTGATCATTCATCGAAACTAATTGAATAGGTTCTTAGAGGGCATTGACGGTACAATTAGCCATGTAAACAATTTGTAAATCCATAATTACAAATTCAAATGACTAAAAGCATTTTGGTCGCTATAAGTAAGTCTACAGTGATCCGAACAACCTGTACTCTCAGTTACTAAGGATTATCACAAAATGTTTTCTTTCCATTTGTTTATTTGCCAAGCTGATTCTTTTCTTTTTTTTCCAAATAAAATGTACAGACATTGTGCGCCTGATTAATGAATAAATCCATTTAATAAGTTTCGTTTTCTAGAATGTTTTTCCCGGCCAATTTCACCAAACTTGCATTCAATTTAACACCTGGCTCATTCGATTTAAATTGAAATTGAAAGATCACGTAGATCGGCATTCGACAATCAAAAAGAATCATTCAATTTCACTATCCGAGCATTCTATCGCCTTTTAGCTTCACTCGTCCCTATCAAAGATGCATTCATTTTAAAAGTATCGCGTTGTTCATTCAATTTCGTCTAAAACATTAGTAAGGGGTTGATCGGGCATTCGTTTTCATGAATGGGCAAACATATTTCACAGTTTGTCAAACATCTTTTAAGACTTCATACGTGTCCGTAATAGCGTAAATCATATTTGATGCTTTCAATCCGTAGATGCCTTTCTTTCGTAATAAAAGGGTATGTGCAATGACTTTTTTTCTCAGGAAATCTTATTGTGCAACTCTTTACTATTGTGAAATTTAAGGAAACTACACAATTGACAAAAATGGTTATATCTTACTGCAAAAGTGCACTTCTTAAAACATTTTCCATGCTTTTCCGGACTACGTAGGAGCGCACTGTTACTATGATGTTATATATTTCAGGAAAAACACTGTTCAGTTTAGGTTTTTTTTTTTCTTTCAAATTATTCATCCAAGATTTGGTAATTAAAAACATTTGCGTGAAAGAGTTGGTCATTGGCTTACTGCCATGTACTGACACATCATATAATCACTAAATAAAAGAAATTTATGACCGCGAAATATCCTAAATGCTAGCAACTTTGTTTGCTGAAAAAGCTGTGTAAACATTAATTATGCCCGGAATGCCATCGCAGGTTTTCTAATGAGTATGAAACTTTGCATTAGCATAAAATGGAGAAGGCACCAAAAACACCCCTCAAAATGGAAAATGAAACTTGCAAATCAGTTTAATTGTGACGCAAAGATGTATTTTATAACATTTAAGAAATAACTCAAGAGAAATGTTGCCGATGGTATGTATGGTACAACCATTGCCAAATCGTCAACGTAAAGATGCCCCTTGCTCCAACGTTTAAACAAGTAGAAAATATAAACAGTAAAACATAAATTATCTTATTCCCTTCAATTAATTAATTCGTAATTACATCTTGTTTCCCTCATAGGGTCTATCAGTTATTTTGTAACATTGTAAATGTTACAGTCATCAAGTGTTTTTTTTTGGGGGGGGGGGGGGAATGAACCTCGAAGAAAAATAGGAAAATGTATCGATTAAATTTTTTTACCAATTTGAATGACCAAACGATGAAAGCGATTGCCCATAAACTAATAAGAAACGAAAAGCATGGTTATACGTTACAAGCGTACAGATGTTCGCTAATTTGAATGCGTCAACCGTCAAAAGGTTGCAAAGACTTAATTTAAGACTGCTATAAGTTAAGTCTTGAATGCACTAAAACGAAATAGGATGCCCGAAAATGAAAACGAACATTCAGAGCAAAATTTTGGCTGCCTAAAAATGAAATTGAACGAACCCAAAACGAAAAAGAAACCCCAATTTGTCCAGTATTGCAGTTATTCTCTCAGAAAGGGCAATGCGGGTTGTTACGATAATAACCGAACGTCCACATGTGGACATAAAAGGGCCAAATGGATTGCTAGAAACTAAAATCCTGCATTTGGCAAATTATTTTGGGGAAAAATCGTACACTTTTTTTAAACTTAAAAACTCTGATTTGGCTATGATTTATTTAATAAACTTTTTATAAAGACTCTCTCTAGGCTGTTAGAGAGAGTGCTGAAGATGAAATGGTTAACACATTACAACATTGTCAAGAAGGCGAAAATTAGAAAAAAAGAATGTCTGCATCAAATTGCTGGTAATGATTGACCAGTCAGGCGTTGACAAAAACAATCGGAGAGTAAAAGTTAAAGGTACTATGATCTGACCCATTTGTAGAAGTCTGCCCCGTTTTGTTCGTTTTTGTTAATTGGAACACGGTATTTAAACTCTTTCGTTAAAGGGAGTCAAATGTTACACAAATGCAACTGTCCAAAATGTATCTGTCTTAAATATGAGGAAAATGAAATAATGACATTTTCGCCCCAAATCCACAAAAGTTCAGATTGATTGCACTGAAAATGAGGGGGGTTTTAGTCAGTGAATGCGCAAAAATCTATGCCTCGGTTATAATGAGAGTTTATTTGTTTGACAGGTGTGTTAGGCTGAGAAGGAATAGAGAGGAGACATGACAAAAAAAGGAGACAGGAGTCGAGGAGATCGAAGTCGCCAAAGTCAGCAAATACTTCAATAGTTTCAAGAGGTGGCATCATTTTCGCAAACGAATAGACTTTTCTGCTGTGCCAGCCGAACCATTTTCTCATTACGCTATAGCAGCCATCTTCTGGATCCAGTGCGCACACGAACTCGATGGCTGCGATACTCTGATGAATTCACGCGCTGATTGGTTGGATTTTGCGTGACCAGTGAACTGCGCCGTCATCAAGGTCATGACTCTGCAAGGTTTAACACGGCCGTTAAAGACTGATTCATTACTCTTTTATTCCAGTTTAGTGATTTTTTTTCTCGTTGAAAAGCGTTATAATGTAGGAAATTCTGTAAACCTTATCTGTGTAATAACTGTTACAATTCCCGTCACTCGATCGCTCAGGCTCCGTTTCGAATCACGAACGGTCGGATTGCATTTATGCGACGCTCAAAATTTTGTCCACATGGTCCGCAATGAAACAGAAATCACATCCGGTATGGAATGTGCGCAATTCTATGGGAAGTTTTCGGATAGCATTTGCGCACATTGTCTAACTGGTTCTTGAACAGCTGCAGCCAGATGCTTTATAATAGGTCATAGGCCACTTCCTTCACAAGATTCTGTGTAGCTCATCAGAGTATCCCAGCGTCCTGTTTGCAGGGCAGGGGGTACGAGCGAATGATTTAATACTGACCAAACCCCAAGGATGCCTATATAAACAATTTATGCGATATATAGTAGACATTCTGTAAGTCTTGCAGTAATAACGAATTTGTAAGTAAAGTATTCGAAGGGTATTTGTACGCTACAACAAATATAATCTATATTTATTTAAGTTACCGAATATGTGTCTAACATGTCAGCAGCGAAAATTATAGAGACAAGCCGATTTTCCCCGTGTTTGATTACCCCCCCCCCCCCCGCTCTTCCAAGCGTTACGGCGTTCAGTTAAAAGGGCATGCAATGTTGTATTTAAAAAATAAAAATCTCAAAGTGAGGCAGTTCCTGGTGGGCAGCGAATTTTCTTTCCCCAAACCACATCCAAACCCTTTACGATACTTTTAGGATACGTAAGCAGGTATATAATTAATTTTTCCACAATCCCGTTTTTGTACCTGATTTGTTTTTCTTTTTTAACCTGAGGCTTCGGATTTTTTTTTTTAAAGGGAATTTGAGTCCGAACTTCATTACGTTCGAATTCATGATTTTAGAAAAGTAAAGTTCAAAACGCCATAGTGTACATCATTATTTGGATGTCGTTTGTGAGAAAAAAAATTGCATAATGAATATTCCTACCGAACCTCAGTTGTAGGTGTGGTTTTAAAGATTTATTTATTTATTTATTTATTTTTTAAATAATACCCCCTCACTGGCAAAGGAAGTACAGATGGGGGTGACCGACCGACGCCATCTTGCCTGACTGCAATTCATTTGCCGCGAAGCGCGGCCCCTGCGTGTAAAACAAATCCCCTGGTGTACGTGCGTCACACACAAGGAACGGTGCGCGTCAACCAGCGAAACGCCCCGCCCATGGGACGTCGTTGCTAGGTAAAAGGGCGCCCTCTTTTGGTAGCGCACGGAGCTCATAGTTGGTTATAGCGAGCACAGGTTATTGAAATAATGTATGTGTGTTTATGAATCCTTATGAATGTTTTAATATTTTTGTCGGAGGGCGATGATTGTTCAGATTAATGATATTTTCTTTTTATCTAATTCCCCCAACCCAGAAGTTGTTTTCTCAAATGAAAGTGTAATTAAACATTTGAAAGATGTTTTCTTCAGTAAAACAAGCTAGATAACAGCCGGATAAAAGAATCACTGTTAAATATTGTATTCAGTATTTCCGATTTTTTTTAAATTTTGACAATATCATTACATTGTGATTTCTCTACGTTTTTTTTGGGCTCAATCAGTATATCACGTTGATCAGCTGGATATGTACTGATGTCAAAATTAAAGAAATAAAAGGCGCCACACAAATATATAAAAGCATGGTAAATAATACTACATGTCCTTAGGTTTTATGTCATTTGTTTCCATTCCCCTGTACATCTGAATGGAAAAAGGGACATCAAATATTTTAACAGGACATGAAGTATTATTTACCATGCTTTTTTATATTTGTGTGACGCCTTTTATTTCTTCAATTTTGACATTATCAGTTCATATCCAGCTGATCAATATATATTTTTATTAAGATATTTGAGTGTCGGAACAGATAAGACTGCGAATTTCAAATTACGTAGGTAATCTTTGTTGTTTAATAATGTGGCCTTTTAGGTGTTTTTTTTTAGTTGCGGGTGAGCAGCTCCACGAGTAGCCATGGCTCTCGTTGGTTGGTAACAAACTTCACGAAATGCTTTTCAAACAACACGTGACTCTTGTTCATGGCCCTACATTGTGACAGTTGCATCTAGCTATTAATTTATTGCACTTGTGAAAAACTGGGTCATTAGAGTAAAAAAACCCAGATGTTTGAACTAAAAACACATTTGGACTGCCACTTTTTACTGCACACAAATGTAGTGTTCCGTAGCATATAGCTATAAAAGTCTCCATGGAGCGTTTTATAGCTTTTTTAAAAATTAATATATTTATTTAATACTGTAAAATAGGAATTGTCAATTGACAATCACAACCACGTGAGTAGTAGGGCATTATAAAAACAGACTTTTACATCATGTATTTACATAACATGATTTACGGTCTTACAATTTGGCCGCAGCTTCCGAGATCATTTCGAGCCGTTTGTACAGTTTTTATAAATGTTATATTCTACATTTCTTTCAACTGATAGCAATTGATACTCCCATAGTATAAGTGATCTTATACAATGGTAATTAATACATGTATTATAATGATCTAAAAATACTTATTAATACCAATTAATGACCTAATGGCTCTATTTACCTTTGCGCTTTCATAGAGGGGCTAACTTATTGCGGCGGTAATTTCATTTATTTTAATCAACACTGAATTTGTCTAGAATTTTCGGTTATGTTCATTATAACGGGTTTCCATATTGTTTTCGTGCAGACACGATTTTGGTTGTACAATGATGGTTCGTTTAATTCACTTTTTAGTAAGAATTCTTCTTTCTTTTTCAATTGGTTGCAAATTAAATTGAAAGGCAAACGAAGCGTAAAGGATGTTTTATCTACGTGAGTTTTTTTCTTCGTTCAGAGTCCTAATCTTTTTCAAACTCGAATGACTGTCTTTTTTTTTTTTTACATATATCTGAACTATTTATTAGTCTTTAACTTATAAAAAAGAAAGATATATAAACAGTATCTTTTTTACGGATTATTTTTTATTTTTTATAATACAATGATTTTTGTTTAAATTTTGCACGAAATATTTGTGGAAAATATTAGTTGAAAAAAAAAATGGCCGGACCACCGTTTAGTTTTGTTTCTATATACCCTTTTTATTAATATGTATAGGTGATTTTAATCATTTTATATATATATATATATATATATATATATCTATATATATATATATATCTATATATATATATATATATCTATATATATATATATCTATATATCTATATCTATATCTATCCAATGAAATCGTCTTCTATCACAATTCACAGTGCTCGATACATCTCTGTAGAGCTATAAACATGCAATAAATTCAGAATATTCTCTTTCTTAGATATATATATATCTATATCTATATATATATATCTTTTGCCAAAAAAATGAATAAAATAGGTGATTTTAATGAAAATCAAAAAAATAAAATATTTTTCTGCTCCTTTTATGAGCAAAACAAATGTATATATGTATATATATATAAATATATATATATATGTTTAAATTTTGCACGAAATATTTGTGGAAAATATTAGTTGAAAAAAAAAATGTGTGGCTTTATATATATATCTTTTGCCAAAAAAAATGAATAAAAGCACAAAAGCCACCAACAATATACACCACCAACAAAAATTGGCTGTACATACGGGTGCTGTTTTATATGTTCGTTTATATTTGGGATTTTTGGAAGAGAATTATGAACTAAGTTAGTGCGGCCTGACCGTTGCAGGACAAAAAGGGGCCAAAAAATTGATCACCGGAAGGGTCAACATAGAAACAAATTAGACTGCAAGACGTGAACAAAGTTTGAGAAGTTTGAATATTTGTTTCACTTTTTTTCCTTAATTTTGACGAATTTGAAAGAAGGGGAAAAAAACTCCAAAATCGCGCGCAAGAGTGATTTGTCCGCTTGTACGCTATCTTGGTTTCATGTTCAGAGTGACATACGTGCGGAATAATCATAGCAAATGGCTATTCCCCTCTAAAGAATTACCACACATGAAGCCACTAACAGTTAAGAATATCAAATTAGATTTTGGCCTTCACCGACGTATAAACACTCAATGTGTTACCTCCCGAAATGAAAGTTGGAAAAAATCAACTCAAAACCCACGACTTCCTGCTTTTTAGTGCAGATGTCTTACCACTCGACCACCGATCTAACGGAATCGCTTGGCTGGTTCGAATCTGATGTACATAGCAGCGAGTACCGCATAAGATGCAACTTTTGGTTGGGGGTGATGTAAATCAATTTAGGTTTTGCCTTTCACCGACGTGTGTTGCCTCCCGAGTGAAAGCATATGCAAGTAGCATAGCACGAAATGAAGCAGGACTGTAAGCACTGTAGTTTTGTATAATGAAAATAAGATCAAGTAAGTTGCTCACCAGGAATTTTCTTGCTGAATTTTCGGCCTAACTAGACCTTCATCGGAGCTGTGAGTTGGATTTGCGGTTTAAATGTAGGCGATTCCACATTGAAACGCCTGGCGTTCCAGCGTTCCCAGCTAGTAGATGATGTCCCATTTTCAAACGATTTGTCACACACGCGCGCTTGTCGTCACATGTGTGTAGTGGCTTGGAGAAGTAGAGCGCCACAGGGGTGTCGAGGGAGATTAAGTTGGACACGCCGAAGGTTCTCACCTAGATCGGTCAGTCAAACGAAGCGTCGTTTCGCCGTTGCAGTGGACACTGCGTGGTTGGCTAGGAGTTGCAATACACGAAGTTGGTACATTATGGGTGTATAACTGCCTTTGGGACGTCGATCTGGGGGATTGTGGAATATGGACCAGCACGTATTACAACGAGGGCGATTGCAAGCTGTGGTACCGGTGTTTAATGTCGTTAACATCGGGTGCTCGTTTTCGGCTGTTTGGGCCACCGCTGTCTAAGTGAGGCACGATTAGGGTATGGATCGAGGTGAGGTGGCGCTCCTGTGCGCGTTCTTCTCAATAACTGCGCACGAATGAAGGCATTCAACAACATTGCGCAAATGGCAGGTTTTGTTTAATCTGGCTGCTGAATAATTTGACTATTTTGATTTCGGGTAGCTTGTGAGCCTTGCTGTCATGTAGTTCGTGTTCATCCATGGGGCGTAGAACGTCTACTGATTCCAAGCAAGTAAGATGTCATCGTCAAAAGAGGCCAAAAGCAGGTCGAGTTTGACAGCAGCAAGGTTGAAGTGAGGCTTAAACCATAACGGTTCGTTCCACCAACCAATGACACTGTGCACAGACTGATTTGTCTGAAGAGACAAAGGAGGCACTACGAAATGTTGCGATTGTTTGCCACGAGAGCTACAGACTGAGCAAAAAGTCATTCGACAAAAATATAATTTTCGTTTATATTTGGGACTTTGGGAAGATAATTATTAACTAAGTTAATGGCGGCCTGACGGTGCGGACTTCAGAGGCCAAAAAGTTGAACACCAGTAGGGTCAACATAGAAACAATTTGAATTGCAAGACGTGAAAAAGTTTCTTTTTCTTATTTTGTTACCTGTTACCTTTCCCGTGGGGGCACCCCTTGAAGACTTGTCAACCAGCTTCCTCCATCCCTCCCGATCCTCAGTCTTTCTCAGGGCGTCACTCAGCGTCTGTGCTGTCCATTCCGAGATGTTGTCCTCCCACCTCTTTCTCAGCCTGCCTCTTTTTCTTCCTCCTTGTACAGTCCTTGGCGGGATCGTCTTAGGACTTGTCCTGATGATCGCGAAATGTGCCCATAACACTTCAGTTTGCGCTTTTTCCCAGTGGTCAGGAGATTTCGTAGGATACGTAGGATAACTTGCCTGATTCTGGTCCGTACCTCCTCGCTGGTGATGCGATCTTTGTAGGAGATGCCAAGAATCTTTTTGAAGTATCTCATTTCTGTGGCCTGTATTCTCTTCTAGAAGTCGGCTCTTAGAGTCCAATTCTCACATGCGTAGGTAAAGAGACGGGGATAACCAACGAGTGCATGTCATCAGCATATTTCTGGTTTAGACCCTTGATCACTCACAACAGCTCCCAGATACTAGAAGCTTTGGACAGTGTCAAGCTTCCTGCCGTTGACCGTGATGTCAGTGGTGATGCCGTCGATACTGTTCGTCATTTAGTTCTCTGCACTGATTTACATGCCATAGGATAAGGATGTTTTGTCAAGGCCATCCACTATCTAGGCCATCGATATCGTCAGAAAAACGCAAGTCGGTGACCGTCCTGCCTCCGATGCTGACAGTACCTTCATGGTTTTCCAGTGGTCCGTCATGATTCTCTCCAAAAAGATGTTGAAGAGCGTGAGAGGGAGTAGACAACCTTGCCTTGCCTTTTGTTTTTTCCTTCTTTCAAATTCGTCAAAATGAAACTGGTTCAGGACGACAGTTGGAGAACTGTCGTCCTGAACCAGTTTCATTTTGACGAATTTGAACGAAGGAAAAAAAATCAACGAATTCTAGAAAACTTAATTGTTACGTCTATTTTTGGGTAAACTTTTGGTTTCCTGAGCGCACAACTTCGATTCTGCCCCTTGTTCCGTGTTCTCTCCGGTAGACCGTCATTAATAAAATCATTTTTCATTTGAACGTGAAATCATTTTTTATTTGACGTGGCATCATGACAATTATGGAAGGATTTCACTCGCATTTCAAAAATCCCGCCACAAGAGCCACGTTCTGAGCAAAAAGTCATTCGACTCAGCACGTAGCTCACAAAATATCACCATGTGCGGTCGATTTTACGGTTTTCCAGCCTGTTTGAGAAGCTTTTGGAATTGCGAGGTGAAAACTACTTTAACACTCTGTTCATGCTATTGTTTTTGCAATTTCTTCCAAAGCCAGTTTTCTCCATTTTGAAAATCATGCGGCCGTTAAAACAAGAATAATCCGACGACATCCGAACCAATTTGACAGTCCCTTACAAAAGTCGCTAAGACTTTTCAATGGAGCCGCCATCTTATAAATCACCGTGACCAGAGATTTTTCGCATTGCGAATCGAAAAACAAATCAAATGAGAAAGCTCCTTTGCCTACGGCCTTGCGATGCAAAAACCTCATCATCACCACACTGGGGCAATTTTTTTGTGAGTCTCGGACGATTTCTTGCCTTAATCACGCAGGTTTTAGTTCAGTTTTGACATAAATGCAAATATGGCTAGGCACTCGATTGAATGCAAAAGCAGCAAGGACTACATTTTTATCTGACATATTGGTTAATCACTTAAGGCAAAAAGGCCTCTTGCAATTGCAAAAATAGGAACCATTTTGTACCCTGCTGGTGAGAAGCGTATCCCCTGTGATCACTTTCAAAGTAGGCAAACGGCTCGGTTTCTCATCTTTCCTTTAACTACTACATCTCGTTACCCATGTTCGTGGACCGTGGGGGCTATAAAAACTGCACGCTCAATCTCGCAGAGCAGGAGCGAATCCAGTTGGAAATCGCACCCTTTTTGAGGACCGGTGCTGCATATCATTTTAAGCATGCAGGCTTCAATGATGTGTTCACCCTTCTTGCGGAAGAGATTATGCAGATCCCTGTATTCGAATTGAGATTCCGCACTGCAGTGAAAGTTCATTCTAAAGTACGGTGTGCGAACAAGGTAGCAAACAAAAGTTTTTTTTCTTCTTTACAAACGAATCCATGCCAGCAATTTCAAGCAGGGGATCCAAATTATATACTTCTTGGATGACAGAGAGACGGAAGGATGAAGGCAAATTGACTGCTTGTTTCACCATGACTGGCAGTGATTCAACTCCAAGCGCTTGCTTGTGACTATGAAACCTGCCCTTGTGAGGCCATAGACAATGATCACATCCTGCTAGAGTGCAAAATCGTCATCTCCCTCACTGTTCAACAGTGGCAAGCGAGAGGACCTACACTCGTATCGCAAAAAGCTCGGTAAGTGGCTATTCTAAAGTAAAGCCGACTGCGAGACGAACTTCGGATGAGCGTTTTCTGGCTCTTTTGGGAAAACAATTTTTTTTTTTTTTTTTTTAATTAAAAGCTGAGAAACAGAATAAGGATAAAAATCCACCAAGTGTCGCACAAAATTTGTAATTTTAAAAAAATATATATTTCTCAATTCTGTTTTTCCGATATTTTGTTCTCACTGGGTTAAGGAAAAAGCAGTGAGAAAAAAAAGGGAAACCAAAATTGAGAATTTTTTTTTTTAATAACGGATGCTACAATGATGACCAATGATAGGCAAAAAGACAACACCCCAAAATATGAACACACTCCAAAACAATAAAAGGTTTCAAGACTTGTAGTTTGTTTCTTTAATAATAATGACACAAAATAACTTTCAAATTAGCCATTTACAAACATGAGAAACCAACAATAACCGGCACTATGACTAATATGACGATTAGTTTTCATTCTTCTGAATAAAACCGAGCCATTATTAAACCAGCAAAGAAAAATTCGTGAATTTTGGGTAACCCCAAATCCATGAATGAACCCATCGCACACAAGCAACCAAAAAATCAATAACTTTAACAACCTTGTCACTTATTACCGCTGAAGTTGTTCTCAGGTTAAAAGGTACTGGGAAGTTTTCATCCTAAACATTTCTAAAATGGATTCAAATAGAGAAATAAAATGATTTTTTAGTAAACGCTTTTTGGTGTTTCCAAGTATTTTCTTAATAAAATAATTCATATCACTACAGCTGAAGAAAAAACTACTGCAATACCTTTGAATCGGACTACCTGTCGTATGAGATGGATCTGAGGCACTCAACATTCACTCTCGCAAAGTGAACATTGTGCATAGTACAAAAATTACTAACATTTAGGCAACTTAATTAGTCTGTTTGTGTTGTCTTGAATGAAAACGGGGTATTGGCAATGCTTGCTTGCATTGGTTGCCAGTGTTTCACTCCTGGATGTAACAATATGAATGAATATAATTTAATGTGCAACATCCATAAGGCGACGACGGCCCTTCCAAGGCAAAACAATGCAACTCGAACATGATCATTTTGAGAAAAAAGACTTTGAAGTTCCATCTTTTGCCATTTTTATGATTTAAAATTTCAGAATATAAAGAAAATATAACTGGCACATCTGTGAACAAAGAAACACAACAGTGTTTCTTTGTGGCACATCTGTGAACAAAGAAACACAACAGTGTTTCTTTGTTCACAGATGTGCCAGTTATATTTTCTTTATATTCTGAAATTTTTGGACTGTTAAAAGCTCGGTTTCTTATACTTATTACCATTTTTATTAAGTTGCATTCTTATGCCGTGCATTATTTGTCGTATGTGGTTTACACATTCCAAGGCAAAACAATGCATCTTGTTTTGACAAGAGCACTTTTTCAGAAATTTTACGGCAAAACAATGTATCTTTGGTTGAGAGGCAGCAAAACTGTCAACTCTGTGATACATTCCACGGCAAAACAATGGATCTTTATTTGAAGGGCAGTCGAAATTTTATAGCGCCCTATGTTGTCAAAATATTACATGGGAAAAGGATTTTGTCCCGACCGTCACGAATTTTTGACATGAATTTCATTCTCACGTCAGCATTTTTTTTTTCAGTACAACAATGCAAACAAGATTGAATGTTGAAATAGAAAGAAGGGTTTTCGTGGCAAAACAAGGCAATTTGAGTTGGCTTGGTTTGAATGCATACATCGTCTAAGGAAAAACAAAGCATCTATAAGATGCATTCAATTTTCATAGAAAATGAAACTTACAACGCATATTCAGTTACATTCTTTTGCTCCGATTGATGTTAATTTAGAGAAGTCATTGAAATTAGCAAGAGCAATGCAAATACAAATTAACCTTTTTTTGCCAAATAAAAAACTGCATTTTGGGAAAATTAACTTCAAGCAAAAAGGGAGCAACATGTAGATACATTGTTTTGCTGTTGAACAAAACAATACTTCTGGTAAGATACATTGTTCTGCCGTAGAAAATTTGGGAAATGCCGAAAAAATGCCAAAAAGTCATAAATTTACCCGAAAAATAAATATCGTGCGACTTTGAAATTTTGCTAAATGAAAACAGCACCTTCATATTCCCTAGAAAGGTTTATTATCTAAAAATGTAAAAATTTTGAGATGCATGTTTTTTCCTAGCAGCCAATAAAACCATTATTGACATTTACCCCGTATTCATACTGGGACTTTCCTTACAGCACACAACAAATATTTACAATGAAGTGTTTGATTAATAACATTATTTTGGGAATGTTAACTAATTTCGTTTCCACATACTATTTTTTTCAAATTTTGTTGTAAATGTGGAGACAATGTTTTGAAAGATTGATTACGCGCTTTAACATGAACTTTTGTTTTTCAACCAAAGAGTAAATTTAACACAAAAGGCACTGTATTATTCCTACTGATTTGATTCACTAAATTTCAGAGGTTCAACATTTAAGCTACCGTCAGGCTGGGAGCCCGTTTTTGGTTCATTAACATGTTTTGAGCCTTTCGATTTTGCTACTAGCGGACATGCCTGGTATCCTCAACCGCTTCTTCTTCTTTCTCTCTTCCTCCATCTCGAGGCTGTCTGTGTCACCATCCTGCTGTGATGAGCTACTTTTTTTGGAGTCTGCAACAGTAACAAAATGTTGATAAAGGTTGTTTGACATTCAATACAAACGAAAATAGCAAGACTTATTTGACGCCACCCTAGCGTGCAAATATTTGGAAGCGATATCTCTTCATTATTTTGGAAGATGACAAGCCGTACTTTAGAACCAGGAGCCAATTTCATAGAGCTGCTTAAGCACAAATTTCGCTTAAGCACAAAAAACTGTGCTTAATATAATCGCGTTACCGGCTAAAACTCCATGCCATGTACATTGCTTGCTACTGGTATTTAGCTGCTGTTTATTTAGCATAACAATCGCATGGAGTTTTGGTTGGTAAAGTGATTATATAGGTTTTCCCGGCTATTTAAACAATTGTATCACTCGAATTCCCTATATCGATACTTTAATTTCGTCCCCGATCATCGCAAAGCTCACTTCTCAATTTAAATTTCAGAAAGCTACCACTAGATTTCATTTAAGGTTCAGTATAATTCAAATTGTTAGCATTCCGATTCGTCCAAAATCTTTCAAATTCGTCTCGTGAAGCCATCGGCGTTGAATTGACAAAGCAAATTCGTTTTTTGTCATTCGTTTTCATGTTGTTGTCATTACATTTCGTCCCGTATACGATTAGAAAATGCGACATATATTTCCTTATATGTATAAATAAAAGTAGTTAGCTGTTAAGGTATGAATTTTCATTTCTGTGTTTCACAATTACAGAGTCAGGAATTGACATTTCACAATATGCACTTATGACATGGACACTAAGCATTACCTGTAAGTTCAAAGACCTTCTTACATGTAATGTTGTTCTTTGATAGATATACCTTATTTCTGTTGTTTTATTCATATACATATATCAAAGAGCAACATTACGAAGGTGTTTGATCTTAATGCTCAATTTTCAAAGAGCATAATTATTGGGAAAGTTCAATTTGTTATTTTATTTATTTTATTTTTATTTCTTATACTTTCATTTATACGGAAATATTTGTTAAAAATTAAAATTTATTTAATGCGCAAACAAGTCCAAAGATTGGGCACATTTTTAATGGTAACGTTTTAAGTCACCAGAGACGAAATGTGACGACAAGAACATTAAAACGAATGACAAAAAACGAATTTGCTTTTTCAATTTAACGCCGATTGCTTGACGAAACGAATTTTAAAGATTTTGGACGAATCAGAGTGCTAGCAATTTGAATTATACTGAACCTTAACCCTAAAGGGGCCGGGGGGGCGGAATCCGCCCCCCCCCGCCCCCCCCTTCAACATTTTCCGGGATAGCCTCTAAAAATTTTTTTTCGCGAACCGAGCTGTTATGACTTTTTAGCCTCGAGCTTTGCGCATCTTTTGATACCAAAAACATAAAAATCGGACCACGGGTTGCTACGTAGCGAAAAATTTTCCGGCGCTACGCGCCGTGAAAACTGAATTTTTGCATATACGTCGTGTACACAGAGCAGAATTGCCATTCGTACATATGAATAATTAATTAGCCATAATTCCAAAACCCTTTGACCTATAGTAATGAAATTTCTTGGGTATGTTTAGGAAGAGTTGCTCTATGCATGTGCCGAGTTTCAAAATTTTTCGTCACTCGATGGCCGAGAGATGGTCAAAATAACCCGGCCCCTTTAGGGTTAAATGAAATCTAGTGGTGGCTTTTTGAAATTCAAATTGAGCTTGGCGATGTTCGGGGACGAAATTAAAGTATCGATATAGGGAATTCGTGTGATACAAGTGTTAAAATAGCCGGGAAAACCTATATTAAGCAAATTTTGTTGTGCTTAAGCAAATTTTGCACTGAAGCAGCTCCGTGAAATTGGCCCCAGACTCAATAGAGGGGGAAGCTGGAGGGGTAAATAAACACCAATAAAAATTACATTGTGTATTGGCAATTTTACACCACTTGTCAGATTGAAAATATGATTGCTTGGAAGTCTTACAGCGTATTGTAATACAGAATGTTATCAAACAAGTAATCATATAATATATAATAATAACAAACTAGGACATGATGAGTAAAAGTTAATAACAATATTTATTTATCTTCTAGTCTGAAAATACATGGGACAGATTTGTGGTAATTTTCCGGGATTTCAGGACAATTCTTCACGAGTCCAGTGTATTTTTGTTCCACAAGAACTCAGAATATTGAAGAAATTTGTAGGCCCTGTTCAAGACATCGAAGAAAAGTTGTAGAAAAATCACCAGCTCCTGGAAACTTGTTGGCGTTTTGAATTTCCACAAGAATTTTTGTAATTTTAGCGTTCAGCTCATTCCGTCAAAAGTAATATTCAGAGACGGGCATTCTTCGTGGGTTTGTCCCCCATTCCTATATTGTGTAAATAAAATAGGAGCATTAGCTTACGAGGTTATTTACCGGAAAGAATTGTAGTATCCCGACGCCACTTGTTTGGTTGTGTTTGTGGAAAGTCAAGTACATTTTCAAAGCATTTTTTAAACACTCTTTGAATGTTTCTCTGTCTCAGATTCATAAGGAGTACGTTCGATTACTTCCTCCAGCTTACTCCCGCCTGGCTCCTTGCGTGATGACAAAAATGCGCAGTGCAGTGGAGCTCAATAAACGAACAGTTTCGGGTACAGTTTCGTGCAAGAACAGCAGGAAAGTCGAACTTTGACATGACAAACCTGCATGCGAATCTACTGTCTAGAGCTAGGTTTAAGTGATGAAAACAAAAGGAAAAGCAGTACTACCGGGCTGAATTTTCGGCCCCGCTTGGCCTTCATCGGAGCTATGTCTGTTTGAATGTAGAAAAATCCACATTCAAACCGCCTGGCGTGAGCGTTCCAAGCTTGTAGAAGATGCGTTGTTCCATCTCCAAGCGCTGGGCGTTCGATAACACGTGTGTGGTGGCTTGGAGAAGTGGCGCGCCACAGGGTGTCCGGGGAGATTGAGTCGGACACTTCGAAGGTGCTCAGTATATCGGTCAGCCAAACGACGCTTCGTTTCGCCAATGTAGTGGACACTGCATAGTTGGCTCCTGCCAACTCTGCGTTGTCCAATACACCGGGTTGGTGGATACGCAAGTGAAATGTCCCCTGGGTGTATAACTGCCTTTGGGACCGTCGATCTGGGGTAGATTGTGGATGGACCTGCACGTATTACAGCGTGGGCGGTTGCAAGCTGTGGTGCCGGTGTTGATGTCGTTAACATCGGAGACTGTTGGGAGCATTAATCGGATTAAAGTCTGTCAAATGGACCGGTCACAGCAACGAGGGGAGTTGAGTCGTTTTTGAAGATGTGGCTTGGTCAAAGGATCAACTTGTAACGTGCGGAACTTTTTCAGGATGACAACACGAACTCGCAGGTTAAACGGGTGGTAGGTGAGGACTAAAGGGATGCGCTTGTCTGTATCCTTAGCCGATGGAGTAAGTGTTTTCATGCGACGGACGAGTGTCGAAGATGATGGCGTGGGGTTCCGCCGTCGCTCAAGAAATTATTTCAAGGCTAACCAAACCGTCCGCGTGGAGGAGACTACACATCCATAGCTTGTTGGCAGAGGGCACAAATCTGAAATCTTCAAACAGCCCGGAGAGCATCGGAGGTTTCTTTAACATTTTGATGGTAGCGCCTGTGCAATAGCAGTCAAAACTGAGTCAAGGTAGCAGGAAACAAGCTCAGTGGGGCAACCGCAGGCTGAGACCATCGACCGTCCTGTGTTATCAGCTTCGGGAGGAGGTAGAAACGGGCAGTACGTGGTGCAGAAACTATGAGGTCAGCAGCATTGGTAGGTAGTGCGCCAAGTTGAATGAACTTTTTGACGGTACGGGAAACTTCTTCCTCCTGGATGTATAGATCACGTCGCCAAACAACCGTAGCTCCTTGTCTGTTCTCTTTAAGACAATAGGTTTTTTCCCAGGGACTGCAAATCTTTGCGTTCGTCAGAAGTGATGTTGGTAACGGTAGATCTTGTGAAGTCAAGTCGATTGACCTCGTACCTACAACTGTCAATCACGAAGTCTTTTGTTCTGTTGCGGCCAGGGTTAGGACACCACTTAGATCTCTTGGGGCAGAGTTTGTCAAAGGGATCAACAGGATCGGGATCAACAGGATCAGCCTGGTCTGCTTGAGGAGATGAATCATCAGACTGAGACATGGATGGTGAGGGGGATGGATTATGTGTCCGCGAGTCAATCTTGATGAAAATATTCTTGAAAAATTCTTCGGCATCTCTCTTAGTAGAAAATTAATCTGGGGGTATAGTGACGACCAATTTCATAGGCTATTCCCGATGAATCGAGTCAAGGGTAGGCGGGGATGGGTTAGCGAATGGAGAAGAATCTTGAAGTGAACTCAGCTTGGACTGTTTGGACTGCTTCATGGTATTATGTAGTTCAGCATTGAGTTCGTGGATAATACCCCTGATACGATAGGGCAGTACTTTAGTCCAAAACCCTTCGGTATAAGTCCAGAACGTAAGCAGGTACCGAGGAAGTTCAAGTGGCTGCAGAATCTGGTTTTGGTGAACGTAGCAGTTGCAAGGGCGAGGAGAGAAGTATCGACGATCGGTTTAGGCACAGAATACCAATGCGGGAAAGGAGTCGGCGTCGTAGCTGTAATTTGGCTACCAAATTAGCCATGATGGAGAAAGTTCGCAGTGAAATAATGTATCGTACAAAATGAAGTGGAACTGCGTAGCAATAAATAAAATTAAACAATTCAAAACGCCCTAGAGCTAGGTTTTAGGTCCACGCTTAATTGACAATTCGCGGACGCGCTGACAATAGACCCGTAGCCGTAGCTCTGTAAGCCCGTTTTGGACACGGCCTGAGGCGACCGCCGGACGTCACTTTTTGTAGCCATGGTTATTGCATGGCTTTATGGGATATTTACTCAAGTAACCGGCTCGGCGAGTCGGTTACCTGGGCCAGGCTCGAGTTAGCGCATGAAGTCACGTGAGGGGTAAATTGAACGTTGTCGCGCTTGCACGAGTAAGCACGAGGGAAGTAATCGAACGCACTCGGGACATGAGGTGAGGAGAAATGGAAGATGCTGCTGGATAGCTGGGAGCAAGGAGTTTTTCTGCAAGGCCAACTTCATGCATAGGTCTTACAGTGTCAGGGGAGCCGCTCCAAAAGAAGGTGAAATTAGCCTCCCGAATCGAGCTACTAACGGTGAACCACGTGTCACTGAGAGCGGCAACACTGATGCCTAGTCGGGTGAGTTCAAGGTCGATGATCGGATATGTTCGCAATGGCAAGACGCATTGCACGTAATTTTGAGAGGAAAGAGAGTCCATTTTGATTTGGTTGTCCTTGTGCCTGGAAACTAGAAGTTGCCTCTCCCAGTCAAGTGAGTTGCTTGAATTGAGACTTGCTGAATAATATATGCATAAATGAGGGACAGGGGTGAGTTCCCGCCTCCGAAAGTCGGTTCTGATATCACAAACTTACTTGATGACTCCGAACTCTGCTTTCGGTAGACTTACACAGAAATTCAGGGGCTATAGTGGTTGATGTGAACACCCGGGTATTGGTCATTAGCATAACTTCTCGGCTTGTAGTTGACTTTTCGGGTTATCAAAGGCAAGAGAGGACCTAATCAATGACCTTACCCACCAAATGATGCCAACTCATATTCATTCAAATTGCCAAAATTCCTAGCGTTGTACGAGGGAGCACTTGTATGCCCAAATCATCGAACTGTGTAAAGGAGGACCCATTTGTCAAATAGAGAATATCATCATAATCACAAAGCTAAACACGCGAATGGTTCGCACACTGACGCAGGAACTGCAGAGGCAAAGAGTCCTGCGAGATCTCAGAGGCGTCAAAGCTAGACAGAGGCAAGACAGAGGTCGTGCATATGTCTGCACCAAACACGGACATCACCCGTCTGCACCAAACACGGACATCACCCATCGAAGGCACCCAACCGAACAACAATTGAAGGTTCACGTATCTAGGGAATATAATTTCCAGTGATTGGCTCTCTGGACAAAGACTCTGTATTGAATTTGAAGCGCGCGACATACCGGCAACATCACAACGGAAGTCCAGGGTCACCTCTCTGAATTCTGAATTCACCTCTTTGAAGTGTCACACTTCCTGGCGCGCGACGTCCGTGTAAGCACGGATCTTACACAAGGATAAAACGTCTGTTCTGAGCTGTTGTAAAAAAAAATGCACTGAGCGGTCTTGCCCTCAATTGGTTAAACGCGTTGATAATGGGCATTAATACCCGTTGGCTTGCATTCGCATTTTCGTAGTGTGCCATTGTATTGTTTTTATTTGCATGGCAACTCAAATGTGAATATTCATAAAACTTTACGCAAAACTACTGAAACTACTACTTTCGTAAAAATATTATACTTCAGCAAAAATATTATACTTTGCAGTTTTTGTCGTGATATAAATATACATACAAGCTGAAAAACATACTTGGTTGAAAGATAGTAATGGGACTAAAACCCCCTGTTTTCTTCATTCGCGCGCGCGGTTGCTATGATTCGTCAGATCGGTGCGCGGCATCGCGTAGCTGCAATTGGCTCAGCGAGAACGTGTCTCGGACGCTGAATTCAGGCCGAATCAAAAACATGATTCAGCAACTTTTATTTTGAAATCGAGATCCTAGAATTCTTTTTTTCCTCGGAATATAGCTTATTGGGATCGCTATAGGGATCGCGTTAATTTTCCTGTAGAGTTTATTTGTGATATTTTTCGGCCATTTAATACCAAGGATGGAAAAGGGCATCTGTTACTGGTAATAATTCACTGTTGTATAAAGCAATACGGGCGCCATGAAGGTACGGAATGTTTTGAATTTTGTTTGGTGGGAAAGGCAATAAAAAATGCTCGATGGTGCCTCTGTCGTGTCGATAGGCTGCGATAGGCTGCAGTCGTCTAATTTGTCGACGAGTCTCTTCGTCAAACCCTGGTCAAACAAACAAATGACCATTATTTTCCGGATATTTGTCAGATCAATGATTGGTCTTCTGTTTACTTGGGGTCCCTTTGGTTGGCTTGGCCTTGGGAAGAGGAACAAGAATACCTTCTTTGACGTCGTCCGGGAAGATGCCAGTGCTAAAAGTTTCATTCAGAGCTCGGGCAATTTTTTTAGCAATTATCGCGGGTCCATACTTCAGCAATTTGGCACCGAGATTATCTTTGCCAGCACATTTGCAAAAAAATTAGTGATTGAATCTTCTATCTTGGTAAAGGGCTGGTGCTCATCACCCGTGGTGGAAATTCTTCATTTTAGCTTCATCATTCAAGTCAAACTTGCTTTGAAATCAGTTTCTGATGCAAATGTTCTTGGCCATTTGTTACCGCTTTTCGTGTGCAACCAAGATCCTATTTGGGTTGCCTCAGCTGTCCATTTCTGATAAGCATTTGAAATAATTATTTTGAGAGGTCATCTTTTTGTTTTTCAATTTCTTCAGCTTTTCTTCTCAGTTGTTTATGCTTACCCACTTCCTACATTATCTATCTGATGTCTACGTGTCACAGTTTTTGTGTAAAAGGTCTCAGGAGTGTGCAGAAGCACAATGCAAGAGTTTGCTTATATTATGCAGATCCTTAAAAAGGTATTTTATATGCTCCGATTCCAATGTCCTCTGGAAGTTACGGTTGGCACGTGCAAGTATGATTTATTGGTGCAAATTTGTTCCTTTCGGACTTTGAATATTACATCATCCCCATGAAAACACTCCAAAACTAATCACTATCACACAAAACATGTAACGTTGATTATGAAAAATGTGGCAAAGTTACTTCAACAATTGACGGCCAGACGGACGGGCCATTTACTGTTATAGTTTGATACTAGGGGGACACCTCGACTGGGTCTGGGTAGTACATGTAAGTTGGGGGCTGCATGCTTGTTTTTGCTTTGGACTGCAGCCCATACGGTAAGCAGGTTGTGTTCATGATAGTGGACTTCAACAGATGTCCATGAGTAGGGGAGCCATGGGGTGGGAACATACACAGCACCAAAGATTGTGACGAGGATGGGTCAAGGTTTCGCTGAATTGGCTCTGCATAGTAAGCCATGGCTATCATCGACAGGAAGGCTGCATATATTAAAAACCTGCCCAATGAGTTGGGGTATAAAACCATGCCCAAATGAGATGCTCCAATGGACAATTCAATTCCAGAGAAATAATTGTACGGAGAGCTGTTACAAACGGCCATGTTCGCCAAGCAACAGTTCTGAACCGATCTTCCAGGACACACTAAGGAAAGCTGGGAGACCAAGGGAATATGGAGCCAAAAATAAATGAATAAATATTAGCGAATGGCTAAGGGTATTAAATAATGCATATGCAGTTGTGCTCTACGGTCTCACGGTTGTCAAAATGGTGCAAAATGTAGGCCTACTGTGACCCAAAAAATACGAACGTGAATTTTTGTTGTTGCGAGTTAAATCGCAAAACTTTTTATGTGTGTGAACACAAAAAGTGTAATTTGGGTTTCCCTTTTTTTCTTCTTTTTTTTTTATGGGGGGGGGGGGAGGGAGAATAATGAAGTGCATTTCGTTATGATTACTTGTACATGACAATGCTGATACCACCCGATACAGACACCGCCATTTCCTTTACATTGGCTTTGCACGTATGCAGCATTTGTTTTCCTTAATAACGTTTAATGAACGCCAAAGCAAATCACAGCTGTTGTGATGGGGAACAGGCGGAATTTCGGTGGCCAAATAACGGAACAAACAATCTCTTGTCGATCCTATGTTCATGATACTATTATTCTACCGAGTTTCTTTCTTTTGAGTTGTGTTTTTATTTACAATAAAAATAAATGTAACATTTAAAACTTTTGAGTTCATTGATTCTTCTCAGAACCAAACATAACTCAAGAAAAGAATCATAAATGCAAGCTGGTTAAATGCAAGGAAGGTGAAGTAGAAAACACTTTGCCAAACTGAATCAGTATGCCGACCTTAATGTACAAATATTACATGTACTACAAGTGCAATGTCAGATACCTTTCTTGGATTTTCTGCTCTCGTGCCCTCTAGCTGACTCATTGTGCCTCTTGTCATTCTCTGTGCCAACTACCAAGCTGGCTAGGGCGTTTTCTGAATGGGATACATGGAGCCTCTGAGGCCTGTTGGTGGAATGAATACCAGATGTACTGCTGCCGTCAGGCTTCTTATGAGTTGAAAGTGCTTCTGTGAATTTCGGAGGGCTGTGATATGAGAACAAAAACAAATTAAGTTACTGCTATATGTTTCTAACACTGATGGTTGTTGTCCAGCTAAAATAATTATTGAAGGGGATGCAACAGTATAATTGCACGAGCTATAACAATACACTGTAAAAACGTTGGGTATTAAAACGTTGGTTAAAGCTGAATTGCTCAGATGATGGTCCTTTATAGTGAAGATGTTGGTCTTTTTTCATAATATTTACCCTACTCCGGGTGCTCTCATTTGGTGAAAGGCATTAAGACAACCATTTTAGAACATATGAACGTCCTTTGCCCAAGCTGAGTTGGGTATTAATTGTTGTCCTCTAAATCGGGTAACATTGGGTGATAATTACCCTCGCCCATCCAGACTCCCACCGGTCTTAAACAGTGTTTAATACCGACCGAACACATATTTATTCCCATTCAAAAATACATTTTCGGTCAAAAACCCCAAATCTTTTCGGTTCACAAATCAAAACAAGTAAAAAACAATTTTACTTCATTTTACGAAACACCCCTCTGACTATAATATGGAATGCCCCTCCTCAACTCGTTACCTTATAAGGACATTGGCGTGTGCGTCGCGCCTACTGCGCTATGTCGCGCAAAACGCAGCTGGGCTGTTGTAGTGTGAATTTCGGACCATGAAATACTGATTCACTGGTAGTACACTTAGATATTTATGAATGCGAATTTAAATGCGTTTCTCGACAACTATATCACTGTAAAAAAATGTTGGGTAAAACACTGCTGGGCACTGTAATTTTACCCAACATTGGTTTGAAAATACCTCAATGTGGGTTGATTTGGGTGACAATTTTCCAACTATTAGGAAAAATTTGCCCAAGAGTTTAACCAGACCCTGTTGATATGTTGACCAACACTGGTCTAGATACATATCAACTCATATTGCCCAACGTTTTTACAGTGATGTATGAAAAATATGTCTTGTTGCACAATGTGAAAATAAGTATGACCAATTTTTTTTGAAATCATAGTTGACCGTTTTTTTATTTGACCAATTAATTGGGAAAGGCTGTCTGATCATTAGCTGGTAATTTATGTTGAACCCATCTTCTGGTCAAAATGGCCTGCCCATGACAGTTGGTCAATAAGTGACCAAAAAGTTGGGAAGCTGATATTTACACCAATTTAGGGCAAGCAGTTGTTCAAGAAATGCCCAATTTTTTTTACGGTGTAATTGCACGAGTCGAAGCCATTATTATTATAGTTATTCCGCGAGAGCGAGTGGAACACTTAGTAGTGTGTATTGTGTCTAACCGAGTGGTACATGTATGTGGGACACAAATGCACAACATTTTCCGTATTCCATGAGCGCAAGCTATAACTAATTTATCTTGAAGCAAACTTGAAGCACTAAACTCTATTCAACGGTTTAACACGTGCGTATCTGTACGGACTAGCGCTCTCATCTTGGAATAGCGCAATACGGTATGGACCATGACCGTGATGCATGGTTATCAATCAAAACATGTCGATTGCTTCCCTGCAGCATTCTGAAAGTAAAAAGTATACCCTGCTTACCAACCCCTACGTGTTAGGGAAAAACGACAAATATAGATGTATTTGTTATTTCGATTTTACTATCAATAATTATTATCTTGCCTAAATATGTGTTCTTTCATACAACCTTCGGCCGCCATTCCATATTTTGGAAACAAAACTCAAGAAAACAGCCCCCCAAATGGCTTATCATGCACATTTGGAACTATGAGGAAATTCAGACAATCCTGGCCAAATCTCGCTGGGCCCCCAACCCCCCGGCCCCTGCTCAATGTTGTCTCTCATTGTGCGATGTGAGCTCCATCTACGGAAGACGAAAATTGCCATTCAATAAGTCTGAATATATTTTTTTGAACGTGTGAAAATAATTTTTGGTACAGCGGCCGCTTATAAAGCACAAGAAAGCGGAGCTTCTGAACCAAATAGATCAAAGAAAAGGGTAAAAAGGCAAAGGTGGCTGATGGGGTGGTGGTGGGCAAACAAAAATGCCTTTTCTCCGGTCAGAGGTGGAATCGAGAATGACGCGACGCCAAACTATTGCGTGCTATTTTACATTTACGCGGAAGAACTTTCCACCAATGACCACCAGTTATTCACGCGTTTAGTGTGTGACGTAATTGCAGAAATGGCTTAAATCCATTCATTGAACCCCCCAAACATGATTAAGACACCTTGTTTGATATCATTAGACAAATTCGTGAGGAAATATGGATCGAAATTTAATTTTGGATAATGATGGATGCCAATTTGCATATTTTGCATAAAATAAATAAATTGGTCATTGAATAAAACGCTATGTTTATCCCCAAACATTGCTGGGCACCTCCAATGATAAGTTTGGATGAAACCCTGTAGAGATGTAAACAAAACTTATATTTTTCCTTATGGCGGAAGCTAATTTGCATATTTTATTGTTTGGAAAAAAAAATGCTCAAGGGTGCCAAGGTCGGAATTATTGATCTACAAGGTCCAAATGCCAAGAAAATGCAAAAAAAAAACCCCATTTTGTGCGGACCCTAATTCACGGTCCACCTCCAAATTGGGGTTTGAACCCCGGACAACCACAAAGTCAGCCAAGTAGCATCACATAAACTCAGTTGATAAGTGGCGGCCGCTGTACACAAAAATATTTTCACACGTACACAAAAATATATTCAGACTTATTGAGTGGCACTATCCGTCTTCCGTATCCATCAGCTGGAGAGGACAACATTAACCGGGGGAGCGGTCGACCGTGGCAGGCTCAGGAAGTGTCCCAACCATTTTGTAGCTTGATCCGCAAGAATAAATTTCAGGACACTGACTTTATTTTTCATATTTCGTTGAATTGTCGTGATTGCCATTGTGGCTCCTTGACAACAGTGCACGTAACGCTACGCTCTGTTGACTGGTTGACAGTGACTTTCTATGCTCTATATTGTGCGGGAACCAGCGAAAATGCCCGGATGACCGTAATATTAATAATATTGCAGTCATCCGGGTGCTTTTTAAGAAAGCAATACAAATACTACCAGCTGATGTATCAGAAGTTTGACAAGACTTGTGAATTATGAACGATGTGGCCAAAATTGGGCTATGAGGAAAAGGTTGCAGTTCTTCTGCTCCACCTTAGCTAGAACGCTTGATGATGTACGACAAAACACTGGGGGGGGGGGGTCCTCTTGCATGCCATCACCGTGAATAGACTGATTTGGAAACTGGGGCTACTTTGTGGGCAGAAATCGGGGGCAAAAATGGGGGAGGGGGGAGTTGAATATGCCAGGGGCATCTGTCCCCAGCTCTCGCGAAAGGCCGATGACACCGAAATTGGGTGCAATGCTTGAAGAAATTCAGCTTGTGGAATCACTTCTCAGTGCGCCGCAGTGACTTATTATCGGACAGATTATCGTGGGACTCGGATGAAGAATAGCGGTGTTTAGATTGGCGTGATTTCTTTTAAATTTTTTGCCAAGTGGGCTTGAGATCTACTGGATTAAGTCTCAGAAGATCCGTTCCACCATGGGAATACCTGAACATGCAATGTATGATGATGTCGAGGATGTCTTGAGAGTGGGTAATGTAATAACTCAATAACAAAACTAATTGTTCCGGTCCGATGTTCACCCACAAGAGGCACGAGGGGGTTAAAAACGGCATATCCTACATCAAAGCAGCCGCCAATTCTTATGCATTACATTCCCTATTTTAAATGCACATTAACATTTCATAAAGCTGGCAACTGATTCAGGTGCAATCTTCTGTAGAGGACATTGTTTTGTTAATGCTGACGTTTCCCCGATATAACAGGATCAACATTTTGGTGAATAAACATACATTTTCAGGATCAAGGAATGCAACTGTACCATGCGGGATAGTGTCAAATGGTTAGTTTGTCCAGATACACTATTGTGGCCTTATTACATTTTATGCATCTTTAAAGGAGCACTAGGTCCTAAAATCCCCGAACATTTCATGCTTTGGATTTGTAATAGGAATTAAAAAAAAAAAGGGGGAGAATAAATTCATCCTAAGTCCCCCCGAGTTAGGTCATTCACTTTCTTAGAAATGTCTGGGTTGCTTGGCAGCGCGTGTGGGTGGTTGGTAGCAGAACTTACAACCAACCACAAAAGTCCTCGAGGAGGAACTGTATAAATTTGGTGGCCAGTGAACTTTCCCTTCACTTGACCACCGAACTGAAATGAACACAGACAGGTAGTTGGCAGCACCCAGCTCCACTGATTAAACTGTCTCTGTATCCCTCCAACTGAACCTGCCATATTCATATATTCATCCTTGTCCTGCTCTAGGTGAGTTTGATAATTACTCCTAGGTTAAAGTGTTAATTCTTTACTCAAAGTTTAGACCGAGTCATCATATGTTGTTATTATTACTATTGTGTTCCTTTCATTCCATCACTGTATTTTGAGTTTAGGTTAACAAACCTTAATAGATGAATATTAAGTTCATAGTCATTCCAACTTTGGCCAATATCCACTTGAGAAGTTCTTACTGCTGTTGACATTTTTATTGCTTCGTCGTTGTCATTTCTTGAAGCTTCGTCGTTGTCATTTCTTGAAGCTTCTTTTGGATGTTTGATGCATTAATTTTCACATATCTTAATTTGAGAAGTAGCCATTTTCTCTGAAAGTAGAACAAATTCCAAATTGATCAATTCCCTAAATCGTTTTTAGTTTTCTTTGAGTTTTGTTTGACTGATCTGAAAGTTTGCCATTTTTGCACAAAAGACCTGTGGCGACTGTAGTCTTAATAAAGTGGAACTTTACTTAAGAAAGAAGAGTTTGTAGGACTACATGTACAAAAACTCATGATTTAATGAACACCCAATGACATTTAATGAACACCCATGTATTATTCAGTGACCTTTTTGGCATATTCCAAAAGACAATCAGCATCTTATAATCATTTCCTGTTAGTTTTGACTAGAGTGAAAAGAGGAATAATTTCCTTAGTACAAATTCTGTGAATTTGTAACAGTTCCCTTTGATCGTTTGATAAGATTTTGATATATCAATTATATAGATTAATTTGATTATTCAGGATCTTGGTATTTTCCATCCTGATCAACTTTTACTTTATGAGTCATTCGTATTCCCTGAATTGTTTTCAGTGTTGTTAATAAATACCTTGGAGAGTTGATGGTTTCTGATTTGTCGAGACTCGATCACGTGGGGGTGTATTAACGGTGATATACAGACCGGCTTCAAAGAACAAGCGAAAAAATGGCCCCTGAACCAGTATTGATCCAGCCCCATGGAAGGCAATGATTGGCCAAATTTACAACAGTCATACGGCAGCTTGTAACAATACAGCACTGCACATACGCTCAACCACCTTCGCATGAGACTGACGCGCGCGTACGCAACACAGTTGCTATGGGTGCACGCGCGTAAGGAAGTTTTAAAACGACATCGTACAGCAGTATACTGAGGATGTTTACGACGCAAACGTAGATCCATCGACATATTTACCTTTCCTAAACCAAGCATCGTTGTAATTCTGGACACAAGGAATGCGTAAACGAAATTTCAGCTTCCTCCATCAGGTAAAAATATGAAAACATTGTTTTAATTTGTTACTGTTTATTTCATTAAAAAGGTATTTATCAATGGGAAAAACAGTGTGAGGATCCGGTCTTCACTGCGTGATAATGACCGGGTGTGGGGGTGACCGCTGTCCATTAACAGCGGTCACCCCCAAACCCGGTCATTTATCACGCAGTGAAGACCGGATCCTCACACTGTTATTCCCTTATTATGCAACAAGTGTAACCTTGTCATGCCCTGAGGTATTGGTCTTGGTATAATGTCCTTACTCACTTCTGGGTTAAGACAAACCTATGTATGCACACTAGTGGTAGAGGGCATTGACCAGCACTGGTGACCATGACAACGTTACACACAGCCTATTGTTTAAAGGGACTTTCACTTTTGCTTATTTGTAGATTCCATTTGCTTAGTATTTTATGAAGTTAATATTTATATTGTCTTGACCACCAAACTGCAATTAACAGAGACAAGTAGTTGGAAGCACCCAGCTCTACTGTTTAATTGTCCCTGTAACCTCCAACTGAACCTGCCATATTCATATATTCATCCTCTGTCCTGCTCTAGGCACAGCACAGAGGAGCCTATTGAGTATACACTGGACAGTTGAAAGCCTTGGCGTAGCTACATTTGTACGTGACTTCATCAACTGCATGGTAGCCAGTGTAGATGGGGTATAGAGGTATCCTTTATATGACCCCTTTCGTCCAGTCTTCTTCTTCTCACAGTTTAATGCATTGAGAGTGAAAGTCTCCGACTTTCCCTTCATCAAGTCAAGCAAGTCCCGTCAAGTTCCGTCAAGTCAAGCAAGCTCCGTCAAGCAAGTCTACAACAACGGATCAAGATAGGCCCTTTAAGTCTCCCCTTTTATATTCATTGTATTAATTGTATTAATTGTTTTGTAATTATTAGAACCCTTGGTTTCCTTTTCTTTTTGTAGTATAGATATTCTTTATTGAGGATATTTATATTAGACATACAACGTTTGAAATCTTATCCCTTTTTAGCCGGAAATGAAATAAAACTCACTGGTTTCAAGCAAAATATACAACCGTATAACCGGTAAAAATTAATTGTGTCGTATGCATTTGACTATATCATGCCCGCTACAGATTGTTTACTTATCCAATTTCAAACATCTGGTTGAAAGGAAACCAACCTAATTCATGGAGTCGGATATTCACGCTTTACCGGCATTGGCCCGATTCAGGTGGTGTACCGTCTTGCTGTTATGGTTTTCCGTAAAGAGACCAACACTGGCCCAATTCGGGCCCTATACCGTCTTTTTGTCATGGTTTGTTGTAAGAGGACCTGCAATGGCCCAATTTAGGCTGTGCGCCGTCTTGCTTTTATGGTTTTCCATTAAAAGTCCATCACTTGCCCGATGCAGGCTCTGAATGGTGTTACCGTTACCGTTTGCCGTACTAAGGCCATCACTGAACCAATTCCGACTCTGTACTGTCTACACAGAACAGTTTTGTTGCAATCAAGCCAGCATTAGCCCGCTTCTGGTCTTGTATCGTTTAAACAAAGAAAACCTATTGGATATTTGTTAATGAAATGTTCTGTTCTCAGGACAATGGATGCAGATTTTGGTTGTTTGTAAGGCAAAGGGCAGGGAGGTAATTTCATCGAGCATCTCAGGATCAACGGTTTTGCCCTACTCCCCCCACCCTTAAAAAATAAAAAATATAGAGGAAAACTCCCCAGACTACAATGTAAGTAGCTTCAGATAAGTGATATATAAATAACCTACTCAGTATGGTGCATGCTGCTCTGTGGGGGTGGTGTCTTGGCCTTGACTGCTGCGTTGGAGGCCTGGATCAGACTCAGTGTAGATCCATAGCTGGCTATGTTGTTGGTGCTTTTAGATTTCTTTATGCTCAGCTTGTCTTCAGAAAGGCAGAGAGTACTGGATGTTTGTAGTGACTGGTGAGGCATGGTATCACCTGGAATATAAATTGTCCTTATTGGCTCTGTAGGTAATCTAAGATTTCAAAATTATGTTAAGGTACTCTGACATATAATTGGAATTACATGTATATGAAGCTGTAGGAGGACAGGCTCACCCTGTACTAATTGCTGGTGATTAATTTGGTGTTTTCTGCAGTTTTTAAAATCCTCGACCAGAAGCGCAATGCACGTCTACGTGGTGACACATGCGAGGCACGCAGACTAAAAGGCGTCTTCAAAGCTAAAGCCAAGGGCGACCTTGAGGAGTTCTATGGCAAACTTGCCGACGACGCTGAAGGGTTACGTAGAAACAACCTGCACCCATCCTTTCAGGCCGTCAAGCATATGCGTGGCTCCCCATAACAGGGACGTAGCACCTTGCCAATAACTAAGACTGATGAGACCCCATGCACGACGGATGAGGAGACGTTGGCCTGCTGGCGAGAGCACCTCATCGCTCAGGTAACAGCCGCAACCCCTGCTAGGGATGTTTCCTCGGATGCTCCCAACGTGGCTGAGGTACGCCGTGCTATTAGAAAACTCAAGAACGGACGTGCTGCAGGATAGGACCCGACGGTATTTTCCCTGAACTGCTCAAGTGTGCAGAGGCCCCAATCAGCGTGGCCCTCCATGATCTCTTCCTCAAAGTATGGTCCTCAAAGTATGGTCCTCAGGTAGGGTCCCTGCCGAATGGAGGGACGGCATCATCATCTCCCTGTACAAAGAAAGGGTCATCGAAGTCAGTGCAGCAGCTACAGGCCCATCACTCTGCCGTCAGTTCCCGGAAAGGTTTTCAGCCGTGTCCTGCTGTCTTGCCTAGAACCACTACTCACCTGTCACTGTCACCCCCAGCAGTCCGGCTTTACGAGGCGCCGGTCAACAATGGATGCAGTGCTCGCCCTGTGACTTCTGTCGGAACTACAACGTGAGTTCAAGAGACCTCTCCAAGTTGCCTATGAAGACATCAAGGCAGCCTTCGACTTGGTAGAACAGAAAGCTCTTTGGCATGCCCTAAAGGCTACCGGAGTCCCACCATTACTGCTTCACCTGGTTCACGCCCTGCACAAGGGTGGTACCGCCACCATGCATGTCGGAGACGACATCTCAACCCCCTTTCCCACCACATCAGGTGTCCGTCAGGGCTGCATCCTCGCCCCTATTCTGCTGTGCCATCGACTGGATTTTAAATTGCTGTCAGTCAGATCTTGGTATAACAGTGGGAGACAAGTCCTTCACAGACCTGGACTATGCCGACGACGCTGCCCTATTCTTAGGAAAGCCTGACCAGTGGCCTATTTCACTCCAGAGGTTTGAGGAAGAAACCAGGACGATGGGGATGCCATGTGTCATGGGCCAAAACAAAGCTCCAGAATTGCACCGGCCTTGGCCCACCATTCGCAACAGCCACTGTCATGCCACTGTCGAAATCACAGAGAGGTTCAGGTATCTCTGCTGCGATATCAGCTCCTCTGGCTACTCATCGCCAGACATCCTCTGACGTATACGCCTCGCTTCATCAACCTTTGGCCAACTGGACTGGGTGTGGCGGAACAAACGCCTTAACCTTTCAACCAAGCTGAGGATAAACACGACTTGTGTCCTCCCTGTACAACTATATGGGTCGGAGACGTGGAGGCTCCTAACCGAGGATGGGTGAAGGCTTCAAGCCTTCAATACGAGGTGCCAACGGTGCATCCTTGGTGTCCGGTGGTCCAACTTTGTCACCAACACCACTATCAAGGGGACCACCGGTCTTGAGGATATCTGTGCTACCATCTTACGGAGACACCATTCCCTCTTCAGTCATGTCCGACGGTTATCGGATGACACACCAGCCCATGCCGCCCTTAAGCTTAGCGTCGACGTACTAGGGGGACCCCTCCCTGACATTGCCTGGAACAGACCCAGGGGGCGACCCCGCAACACCTGGTGGCGACAGCTAGAAGTTGACCACAAGACACGTGCACAACAGCTGTGGCAGTCTGCATCTGATCGCTTGGTCTGGGCGGCTCAACGTCCCCCATGATGGATATAGAGAATGATGATGATGATGATGAGTAGACAAACACAGGCAGCATGAGCACAGCTATATCTTCTATATTAGAAATGTGCAGTTTAGTGGATTTGAAAGCCAGCTGAACAACATTTTTATTGTGAGGGCGTTGATGGCCTTCATGATCAGTTTTGCATTAACATATTCACTGGTCCAGTCCACTATAAAACTTAATCTAAACTATATTTAACAGGGCATGTAAAATAACTTACCAGCTGAGACAGCTGACATGTATGTTGGTGGTGGTGGCATATCCTCATCACATTCATCAAGGCCCATGGGGGCATTGGCTTCCACATGGGCTAAACTTCCCACCACCATGGCCGCACCGATGGAACCTGTTACAGCAAAATGAACCATACACAAGTTAAGCACATTTTGTATCACATAAAGTTCGGGTTATTTCTTTTTCTTTGAAGAGGGTTTTATCTACTGACCAAGAGGATACAGGGTTTTCACGGAAAACCAGTGGGCACAGAGCATACTCATACATTTACAAAGGAGCATCACAAGATATTCCTTATTAATGTCATACAAACCTCCCTGGGTGTCTATAATGTAGGAATGTCAACAAAGAACATTGGGTCGTATGTATAAATCTAGCATTTGCTTTTACTACCTATTTGGAAGCATTTACTTGCATTTGTATGAATAAAAATGAAGCAAATGCTTTTATTGGAAAGCATTTGCTGAAAGCTAAAAGTATTTGCATTTTACTTGTTAGCTTTTTGTATGAATAAAAAGGAGTAAATGCTTCAGATTCAAGTATTTACTGGTCATTTTTCAAGGCTGGGTTTGGGCAACCTTGAAAATATAAAGCAAATAAAAACTGCTGCATTTTTTTTATTGTTAATCTCCCCAAAATTAACACAAAACGTTAATTAACTACATATAATACCATACACTGTATTTTGCACAACATTTATGCGAAATTTAAATATTGTTTTATTATTAAGTTCATTACTAGAAGAGACGATAATTTCACATTTTTTCGCAATATGAGAAGCGTTAGCATAAAATTCAGTGCAGCATAGAATGATTTAAGGATAAATTTTATCCAACGGCACCCTGGGGACTGAACAAAATGAAATCATTTGTTTAGTTTATTAGGTCAACTACCTTTGCCAACTATTATTTTTTAAATATTTCTATAAACAAAACTCTTTATGTAATGAATGTTGGTATGATTTTACCCACTTTAACACATGGCTGTGATTTTTATGCAATTGTGACGTCTACGGGACACTGTGGACCTTTACAATTTTCATGAGTGAAGAAAGTATACTTTCTGTATTCTGCAACTGGCGAAAAGTGTCACGATTTTTGCTGGATTTGAGGATCAGATGTACTACAACATGTCCTAGCAGCATCACCTTGAATTGGACTATACCCTATGTGCAAACCCTCCGTGTGTGTGGCAGTTGGTACACACAAAATAAACCCTATTGTTGACAATCATTCATCCATGCAAACAATCCAACGGTAAGAAGCATTTGCTACCTGGGGCGGATTGCAATAACCGGTCTTAAAGCTGTCTATGCGCATTAGACAGTCTAAAAGCTCTGGCTGTCAGTCAGTCTGTAAGACCATTGCAATGACACAGTTTAATTAGTAAGACAGTCTTAAAATAATTAGCCTGGGTTGGGCTGGCTTAAAATGGTCTATAGTTGGGATTTTTGGAATTCACTGGTGTGTTGAATTATTCTTTCCCAAAATATTTTTTCCCAGTTGATGAGTGTTTGATGATTAATCCTAAAAAAGCAGAGTACTGCTTGGAGGGAAAATTCTCTGGGATAGAAGGGATCTTCTGGAAAAATGTAATGACACTGAGTTGTACTGCAAATACAATTTTCTCAACATAAAATTTCGGAATTGACATTTGATTTCGCATGATATGAATCACACAAACCTAAAAAAAAAATTGTGCAGTCTCTCCAGTATTTGCCCGTAACCATGGAATGTTTGTTTGTGAATCATTACTCTAAGCGGGCTTAGTAAAGACCAGCTTATTGCAATGTGCTAAGTTTGGTGTCTTAACCAAGACCGTCTAAGAACAATAGCCGGCTAAAATTGGACTGGTTTAGCCAGCCGACTAAGACTGCGTTATTGCAATCCGCCCCTGTTGTCTAGTAAATGTTGAACAGTAAAGGAAAACTTTTATTCATACGGAATCAAGCATTTGCTTTTCCTTAATGCTTGTACTCCAAAGTAAATGCTTTTACTTTTTGCTTAAACTTCTTAGTATTTGCTAGCTTTTATACATATGACCCAATGGGTCGTATGTAAAAAAACTAGCAAGTGCTAGGAAGTTTGAGCAAAAATCAAATGCTTGATTCTGTATGAATAAAACAATTTTCCGGTGCTACATGCCATGAAAACTTAAGTTTGCCATATACATACATATATAGTGCAGAATTACCATTCGTGCATATGAATACAGGCGCGGATCCGGGGGGGGGGTTAACCCCCAGCTCTGTCCACACAAAAATTTCCATAGAAATTCATGAAAACAAATGCAACCCCCCCCCCCCGCTGACACCCCCAAAATTTTTACTGGTATCTAGACTTATGTTTGTGGACAAACACAGGGCTGTTTCGGCATCTTTTTTTGTGACATGTGACATGTAAAGTTTCAAGTATAAGTTCCATCCAGGAAGGATGTGTAGTTCTGTTGATAATAAATGGTGGCATATAAATATGTGATTATATTCTCATAGGGCTTGAATTATGATGTCACGTGTCAGGTGATGACGTCATGATGACGTCATGATGACGTGACATCAATTTTTATCTATAATCATCTATAACAACCTGCTACTACAGGGCGCTCTAACATTTTATGACGACACCTTAAATTTTGTTGAAACTTAGCCAGAGCATACATTGTTGAAAGCAAGGTCACATCTTTTACCAATTTTAAATTACAAAGCACTTCCCCTTACAACTGGAAGGAAGGGTCACGTGATTTTGCACGTAATATCAAAAATAAAAACCATGGTTTATTCTATCAATTCCTGCAAAAATCAAGTTCAAGTCTCTCACAGTTGATTTTATATTGATTTTTAAATATTAAATCTATTAATCTTTAACGTGACATCACGTAACCTATGATGACGTCATCGTTACGTCACTTCAATTTTTATCTAAAACATGTCCCGGTCTACGCACACACCAACTTTCAACCAAATCGGACTTGTAGTTCTGGAGATATAGACCTTAAAAATATGTACATTAAATGTAACGTCACGTGACAAAGTCATGATGACGTAAATGTTCGGGGCACAACTGCAGGTGCTGGTCTAAGTGTTTGCCGACTATAAAGACAATTGAATTGATTTTGGTGGTCAAAGTGCCGGGAACAAAAAAATGTGTACAAATGCTATGGGCCAAAATGACTGAAGAAGAAAAAGAAAAAAAACTAGAGCTATGTCTGTTCGATGAGCAGAACATAGGGCTTTTCCGTATTTTTTTTTGGGGGGGGGGGTGTTTTGTCCATATGCAATTAGATACCGTAGTTATAGGACTAAATTCTTCACATACATGTATAGGACTTCAAAATTTACACCTTTTAACATGATGTCACATGTCCCGCAATGACGTCATCGTAACAACACCATAAATCCCATGAGAGAAAGTGTAACATTTTGTTAGCGGAATAAAATCTTAAAAATTAAAAAATCATAAAAATATCAACCGATATTGTCATGACGACGTCATTTCAAATTTTGCATACTTGTGACATTATCTACCTATCCACAAAGTTTCATGAGGATGGGAACTTCTGTTATATGTGTTTTGGAAATTCGCGTTTTTGATAACGTCATCGTGACGTCACAAATTTAAAAAAAATGTGTATATATACCTATTACCTAACAAACAAAATACAAAAGGAATTTTGAGTTTTTCATGTTGCGTTCGTGAGATACGGCTTAAAGGTCCAAAAATTCAAAAATTCATATCAAATCGCACGATAACGTCATCATGACGTCACCTCATTTTTATCTATAACACATCGCAGTCTACCGACATACCGAATTTCAACCCAATCGGACTTACCGTAATTTTCGGAATATAAGCCGCGGCTTATACGTTGATTTTGCCCATGAAAATGTTTACTGCGGCTTATACACAGGGCGGCTTATACGCCGAGCCTTGAAGAATAAAAATGACATTTACATGTGTATTTAATGTTGTGGTATAAGAAGAGATGTGTTGCTGAAATACAGTGTAATTATCAATTAAGAAAGTCATTAACAAACCAAAAGCACGTCCCACAAAAAGGTACCGAGCGGTAAAAACGTACGGCTAGTAAAAGCTGTCTCTTCGACATCAACAACCGGCCGTACGTGATGCTGCATGCATGCTGCATGGATTCCCCATGGACCACACCATTTGTGGTAATAAAGGGGTGTACTTTCTTGGGAACAATAATTACCAATATTTTCCCTGTTTAAAAAATGAAAAAAAAAGACAACTAATACTTTTTATGGAGTTCGAAACATATCTTAATTTGATAATCAGTTGTTCAACATCACAATATATTTTTTTTCTTGAAATGTATTCAAGAAATGATGTAAAACTCAAAACAGGGGTGAAATCACCCCTTATGAAATTAATGGCTTCGTCCACAAAACTTTCAGCATCGTGTTGACTGTTTTCGAAGAAAATTACGATCCAAACTTGAATTTTTGACGTTACTACTCATTAGTAATCACAACAATTTGATAAGTTTTGCTGTAAAAACGGACTTGTTTATTCTTAGGGCAAAACAACTCAGCGTCTGTTGCCACAAAGCAGGATTTGTAGCACTCCAGTCTGACGACACATGGTGGGTTGCATGCTCTTTCAAGTGCTGGGGGAAAATGTTATCATTCGCCGGCGCAGGCTCACTGACGAGCCAGCCGGCAGCAATTCCCATTTTTTATTTCTCATCATCAATTTCCATATTTGTTTGTAATAGTATCGACTGTAAATGATTTGATATAACTTTTGTGGCCCTTTTTATAGCTTTCGTAGTGTAAATGGAAATGGTTCAGAGCATTTTGACTAGAATTTGGAGGCCTTACAAAATTTAAACCGCTGCGGTCGGTGCGGCTTATACGCCGGTGCGGCTTATACGCTGACTTCAAATCTTAATTTGCAGATTTTTGCGTGCTGCGGCCTATACGCCGCGCGGCTTATATTCCGAAAATTACGGTACTGTTCTGTAGATATAGGCCTTCCAAATATGCACCTTTGTGATGACGTCACGTGACCCATGATGACGTAATCATGACGTCACTCTTCGAGACACAACTTCACTATAGGGTCTTTACCTGAGATAAGTTTAATTGGAAAA